ATGTGGTTTATAAACTTTGTAGGGATAATTATCTCAGTGTGGGCATAGAGTATGATTGTACTTGCCACACAATTATACTAATTCAAAAATGGTACAGGCATCCAAAGCTCTCAAATAAAAACTGTGGAAGTGCATCTAGAATACTATGTTGAGAGCATGCAATAAGCTACTATGCGATAAGCAATAAGCTTGAAATTCGAAGAAGAAGAAGATGAAACATCTAGAACATTAAGCTGAGAGCCGGCGATATGCTTGCTACAGAAACGCTACAACTCCTTTCAGGCAAAATAATAGAGGGGCCTCTATTATTATTTTCTACCGTAGTTGCCGTATACTCTAATTTTTATTATATTATTGATTTTCCATAGAAAACTTTTCGCTGAAAATGACTAACGCTAGCGGTATTTCTAACCGATGAAGAAGTAGCTTTTCAAAAGTTCAACAATTCAGCATATAAATCATGTTCTGCATCCAGGGAAGCAGAGACAATGTCCTTCCCAAAATATCTTCGACCAGATTTAATATTGATGAGTTACGAGAGTCTTATCTTATGAAAAACATATATGCCATTTTTTAATGGAATCTAAATTAATCCGTTAAATGAAGCAGCGGAGTAATTCATATACCGTTCTCATCATGAACAGTATACGTATGCAATATTTCTACTATTTATAAATTCTCTCTAATCATAAATTGATTGAGCTCACTTACGATAACCGAAAACCGTACACCAAAATCCCGTCTGACACCCACACCTCAGTTCGGATTACGAAACCTACATCACATTTTTGATCATTGCTTGCCATGGCTTGGAGAGAAACGATTACCAATCATCTTACCTGCCGCGCAACCTCGGAGGTGTTCCGTTGGAAATCATATTTCAAAGGCGTCATGGGAGGAACGTTTTTGTGTATGCGTGTAACATCTAACATCATTCGTAGGACGGATTGGATCCACAGCGGGTAACATACCAGGAAAATGAAACAAGGCTCCAAACGTTTTCCTTGCTCTATGTTTAAAAAATGAACAAGTAACCGGGACAGCAGCCCTTGTCGGCAGTCGTGGGTGGTAGTAAGGGAGGTGGCTTTTGATGGAAAGGTATCGTAATGCCGTATCAAATTTCAAGCATGATGAAAGGCTGCTATCGCGTGGTTGATGAGTTTTGAAGATGGTAAAATGAGCAACATAATCGAGGTATTCTAAATCAAGCGGCATTAAATGGGGATGATTGAAGGAGCATATGTATATGGAATCAGCATTTACATAATTCATCGGAAAGATACGTTTAGTGATTGAAAAATCTGGATTACAAATTATTTCGTGAAAAAAAATGGAATGTTGTATTGGTCTGGATCTGAAAATTCTTGATAAGCTAAACTCTATGGACATTAACTTTTTATGAATGTAAAAACAAGCACCCTTTCACCTGCACAGCAAAAAATTCGGAATTTTAATTGTGATGTAAACATTCGTTCACGTAAACTTATATTTCATTTCAGGTAAAGGAGTAACTTGTAAGCAATGTTGTTTACAAAGATGTGCTTTTCTATACAATATTTGCAACTTCCGATCTTTACACCATTTATAATGTTAACTTATATGATATGTGGCGCTCCATTTATGTGCATCATATTGAACAGAAATTTACATTACTTTTCGTACTGTGCAGTTCACATAATGATGCACATAAGTGGAGCGTCACATATGATATAATATTAGATTATAAATCGTGTACAGTTCTGAGAAATTTCATGAAAAGTTGCAAATATTGTATAGAAAAGCCCATTTTTGTAAGTAACATTGCTTACAAGTTGCTCCTATGCGTGACATGAAATATAAGTTTACGTGAATGAATCTTTACATCACACTTAAAATTCAGAATTTTTTGCTATGTGGAATCTAATGCCATGAACAGTGTTTCGATAAGGTTTCTTCCTGGAATTAACCCACTTGTTTAGGGAATCCTAACGAAACCACCTAAGCCTTCTCGGAATAGGTTATTTAGGATGGATTAATCAGCCGTATAGAAACAAGAAACAGCAAAAAATCTGAATTTTAATTGTAATGTAAATATTCACTCTCGTAAAGCTGTATTGCATTTCATGCAGACGAGCAACTAGCAAACAATATATGCAAAACGGTCGAGTTAGAGTTACTTGGCCACACAGTTCGAAAAAGTAATGGAAATTCCTGTTATTATGATGCACATAAATTGAGCGTCATATATCATACATGTGACATACATTATAGATCGTGTACACGGAGAAAAATACTCACCAAAATATGAGTTCTTTACTTAATTTTGAGTTGAACTTCTCACTTTCACTCGTTGTTGTTGTCGAAAAAGAAACGAGAGATTCGACCGAATCTGAATTAAATTTAATTTTGGGTAGAATATAAAGGCTGACTAAAAGTAAATTGGTACGCACAAAAAGACCTGTAATTCGTGATTCAATAAGTTTAAAAAGTCTTCCATTTTGCCCGCATTTACTGCATGTCTTTAACTGCCCCGCCGCTTCGTCCAAGTCGCTGCTTTGAAATTGACCAGTATTTTTCGATTGGTCGAAATTCCAGCAATTCGGAGGATTAATAAGCTTGGGGACCAAATCGATCCTGTTGGCAGCATACCACTTCGGAACCACTTTGGAGTAGTTGCAGCTGGTCAAATCGGGCCAAAACATGACTTTACCCCTATGCTTGCGGATGAACGGCAATACACGCTTTTTCAGGCATTCTGTAACCGTTCGCGAAGAATGCTCGAGGTTCAAGTGAAACTCGGTGGCTTAAGCGCCACTCCCTTTACGAGAGACCACCGGTCGTGTTTATCGAAAGAACACCTTTATCCGATCCATTTACCATCAGGGAAACCCGCAATCTCAAAAAACGAACCAAGCTAAACCGATTGTGTCTGATGCGAATCCAAGACGAGCCCAAGAACTCAATGGCGAGCGAGTCAACTAAAAAACCATGACAGAAAAATAAGTAACTCAACGAAAAAACTTCAAATTTCAATCTATATTCACATCATTCCTTAACATTCATTCTGGTTGGACTAAACTCGGTTCAAAAAGTAAACTATTCGTGGCCATGAAAAAAAAAGTACGGACATACCTTCGCAGGTGCAATGCGACGACCTGTGATGATGGCGGTGGTCTCGGAATGGCGCCGATCAAGCTTCGGAAATGGCGTGCAGCGACGAAAAGTGACCCGTGTGCGGTATGAGCGAAATTAGAGGTGCCGAGGTAGTGGCGGCTGGACGCAAGGCTTCCGATTTGCTTTCTAGAGAGCTGAGCATTGACGGAGTCGAGCATTTCCCGGGAGATTCGCTCCGCGGAAGAGAGAGAGACTATGTTTCCGCTATGACCGCCCGAGATGAAATGTAATCTTCTCCTCTTTGGTTAAAATCTGAACCGAGGTACGCAATTGGCTTCGTACTTAGCTCTCGAATGTCACGGGTTCCCGAGGTTGTAACGCAATGGGGACTCTACCAAACTAGCGACTTCACGACACTTCGTTTATCTACAAGAGGCGGGCCTTCGCAATGCACCCGTGTCTTTTCCGAATCCAACGGACGGAAATGGCGGCCAAATTGACGCCACGACAAACCAGACGGTCCGGCGACGATGGAAGCCGAACTCGCCGAAAATTCCAGCTCGTACAAAAAAAAAAGCCCGTTGAACGAGCTGTCCAACGCGAAATCACTTAATTACTCATCTAATATTTAAATTTGCAGAATTAATTAACAATTACCTTTTTGTATTTAGACACACTATCTACACAGCGGTTTGAAACGCGAAATACTCGCTACAGGCAAGAAAAATCTAAATGCACAAAAAGAGCTATCGAATTAATAAACTGGCTCGAACACTTCTTTTAAATTAATCACCTTTATCTTTTTGATCGAATTTCACTGAGTTCACACTTGACTGACGAACTTGAAAACCGCGTCAAACACCACTGCTTTCCACCCGATTCGTTAGCGAAATGGCAGAGACTAGAATTTGAAGAAATCAAGAAACCACGGAATTACTTAAAGATAAAAAGATCGGATATGGCGCGAAAAATCAATGTTCGGCTTAGCCATTTTACTCAGGTGTTCATTTGAATCCTATCTCTTTCACGTATTTCCCAATCTATAAACAAAAGCTACATCTCCTAGCTTGCTATAAAAGCTACATATATACAAGCTCACTTTTATCTTGCCGTAAAAATCCCGACAATTGTACGTATCACGAAACTTTTTACTACATTGCATTGGAAACGAATCACTCTTTTTTAATTGCATTAAATTCTTAATTAATTACAAGGTTCAAATACTAACCATAGTTATTTTAAACTAAACTAAACATTGAAACGAAATAAACGCACAACGTTACAATTCTTCGATGTAAACTTGGGATGTCATCGTCGAGGATGTGACGAATGGTTCCGTTTTCAGGCCACAACTGCAAATCATTTACCAAATCATGGCCTTCTTCGTGAACTTGTCGGCAAACACGAACTTGAATCTTCCCACGTCCAGTCGCGATGTAAAACTTTTAATCGGGAAGCTGCTTAAATCGAGTTTGACGTATGGTTCGTCATCGATCAAAGTGCAGCCCTTGTGTTTCGTCAAAACACGGTCGTACAAGAGCTTTGCACGCTCTTTGGCCACGGAATTCTGCTTCATGTGCCGATTCGGATGTTTAGTTTACTGGCTTTGTAGTGATGATAGTGAATTCAAGTGGATTGGCGCTTCAGATCACATGATCTGTTCGAGTGATTACCTTCGGGACGTGCAGAAGCTAGATGAACCAGGAATGATAAAGGTTGCATCAGGTGAAGTTCTTCGAAGCCACCACAAAGGAAAAGTGGATATCGTGTCGGGAAACGGCGGTTGCAGTGCATCGTCGATAACGTTTTGTTCGTTCCGGGTTTGAATAACAACCTCTTCTCGATCCGTCGGGTTGGACAGCTTGGTATGGAAGTGATTTTTTTCCAAAAACACTGCGGTGATCAAGCGAAATGGTGAGGTTGTGTGTACGGGAAGTCGATCGGATCGTATTTTCATCGCTCGTGATGTCGTGGTGGAGGAGTTAGCGCTTAAACAGCGGATCGTCGATTGTGGTTCTGAGGTTCCGGAAGCTCCCGTTCGGAGTAAGAATCACGGTCAGTTGGCTGGACCTTCTTCATCGAGAAGTGTTGCTGATCGTGAAGAATCCCAACAAGAGGAGAGCTGTCCTGGAGGTGAAGAAGAATCTGATGATAAAGCGGAGGATAGGTCGTTTGAAAAGGATCGTGGTGCAGCTGAGGAGGGGAACGGTGGTGCAGAGGCAGGTCTGCGTCGCAGTGAGCGAGTTCGGAAGCCTCCTGCGAAGCTGAACGATTACTTGTGCATTACCTATGCGCTTAACGCTGAAAGCTACGTCGAAAATATTCCGGATACCATCGAAGAGCTGCAGAAACTGGAAGATTGGCCGGAGTGGAAGCTTGCCATAGATGAGGAGCTGAATTCACTGGCCGAAAACAACACTTGGCAGCTGGTGTACTTACCGGCTGGGCGCAGGGCAGTGGACTGCAAGTGGGTTTTCCGACTCAAGTTTGGCCCAGATGGGTCCGTTCTGAAGCGAAAAGCGCGTTTAGTCGCTAAAGGCTTCACACAGCGTTTCGGGTTTCTGAAACTTATGCGCCTGTTGTTAAGATGTCCACCGTTCGATCGATGCTTGCCCTTGCCAACCAGTTCGATCTTGATGTCCATCAAATGGACGTGACGTCCGCCTTCCTCAACGGAATCCTGACGGAGGACATCTATATGCGTCAACCAAAGGGATTTGAGGAGGGGGATAAGGTATGCACACTCAACAAATCCATTTACGGATTGAAACAGGCGTCCACGGTGTGGAACGACCGCTTTAATGAGTTCATTTCACGGTGTGGTTTCCGTCGAAGCGAGGAAGATAGCTGTCTGTACGTTCAAGTAGGCAAATCCGGTCCAGTGTACCTGCTGCTCTACGTGGACGATGTTTTGATCATCGTGAACAATTTAGACGAAGTGAAGACTGTGAAACGGATGCTGAGAATGGAATTCAAGATGCAGGATCTCGGTGAAGCTCAGATGTTCCTGGGTCTTCGGATTGATAGAGATCGAGAAAAAGGTGTAATGAAGCTGAGTCAGCTGAAGTACGTGGATGCTGTGCTGAGACGCTTTGGCATGGAGGAGTGTGTATGGTTCCTGCTTGTTTACTGGTCCAAATTATCCTTCAATAGCTGCGTTGAGCGAGGCAGCCAAACCAACATCGAGTAGTAGAGGTGACTTCCGACGAACAAGGGGAAGTAGGTATGCAGCATGCAGCAATAGTCCACATTCAATCGTGGTAGCAGAACTTCAACGCCATCGAATTTCTTCACCGAACGGCCACTCTTTAAAATGCTAAGCAGAGGGCACTTATTAAAAAAAAACTCTACACTTTATTACACGCAAACAACGACATTTAATTCTACGGACACTACATGGGTTTATTCTTAACTTAAATGAACTTATACTAAACACATTAAAATTCGGTTTCCGACGTGCAGGTCGAGCACCCGTTCTTCACTGTGACCTAGGCGATACTGATACGACCTACATCCAGGCAGTTCATCCGAAGGCCTTCAGCAGCCGACAATCCTGCGATGTTTTCCCCTCCAGTGCGAGAATATCTCACGATCAGCTTTCCTTCTTATCACGCCACAACGGTTGATAAGAGCGATCGTGATATTGTACCTAATGTCTTCTCTTTCGTTCCAGTCCTTGTTTCGGTGATGGTGTGATGATCATGGGTGGATGAGAGCGAGAGTGGTCCAGCTCAGGGTTGACGCTTCGGGGGGCCGTACTCTTCAACAGAGTGTAAGCCGTCGTCAACGCCGATGGAACAGGGTTTGCAGCTGACGAAAGCAGATACCAAGCAAGATATGTGCAAACCGTATCGGGAACTGATCGGTTGTTTAACATATTTGATGGTTACTTCCCGCCCAGACCGGAGTGCAGCCGTGTCGTACTTTAGCCAGTTCCAATGTAATTCCGGAGAAGAGCATTGGAAGCACGCAAGGAGAATGCTTCGCTATTTGAAAGGAACGCTGGAATACGGGTTGCTGTACACCAGAAGCAATCGAGCGTGTCGTCAGATAGTGGGATTTGCTGACGCAAATTTGGCCACTGACATCAACGATCGCATTCTGTCTCCGGATACCTGATCCAGATCTACGGCGCTACAACAGCATGGAGTACCAGGAAGCAGGCACTTTCCTCGACCGAGGCCGAGTGCTATGCATTGGCAGATTGTATTTGCGAAGTCTTGTGGATAAGTAAGCTGTTCGTAGAGTTGGACATTCGTGAACATGAGCCTGCGGAAATCTTTGAAGACAATCAGTCCACGATCGCCATTGCCGAGTCAGATGGCTCGTCCAAGAAGCTCAAGCATACCGAAGTTAAATTACATTTCATCAAGGAGTGCGTCCAAGAAGGTAAGGTGAATTTGTGCTACATCCCGACAGCCGACCAACCGGCCGATATACTCACCAAGGGCCTTTCGCCGGTACCGTTTACCAAGCACCGAATCTTCATGGGAATCAAAACATGACTTGTTTGAGGAGGGGTGTGAAGAGCAAACTATTCACTGGGTAAATCCAAAGAGTTAAATTGGTGGTTGAACTTAACCGTGTATATTTTTACAAATAAATTCAGTCTCTACTTGTTAATCGTATGTACCACACGTGTTTATTTTCGCTCTCATTGTGTATCACATTCCCTCGTTCGGCTTATACTTCCGAGGCTACTGTTCTTCACCGTCCAGCACAAGTTTGATATTCCAGAGGAAGTAAGGAAGCAGAAACTTTCAAAGTTTGCCAAGAAATACATGATTTGGCAAGCGATCTGCTCATGTGGCAAACGGAGTGCGGCGTTCGTGACTACCGGGACTGTAAACGGAGAGATCTACCTCAAGGAGTGTCTACAGAAGCGTCTGCTTCCTCTGTTGAAGCAACACGAGGGCCCTACGATCTTCTGGCCGGATCTAACTTCGTGCCACTATTCAAATGTTGTCCTGGAGTGGTACGAAGCCAACGGGGTCACTTTCGTTTCCAAGGACATGAACAAAGGCCCATTGAAAAATACTGGGCTATTATAAAGCAACACTACGCAAGCATCTCAATGAGGTCAAATTCATCAATTTCCAACTCTGGCATCAATGATGCAGAGTCACAAAAGCAGGTGCTCAGGAAGTGACAGTTCGCATCACGCTACACACTAAGAATAATTTCAGTATAATGCTCGATAATTCTAACACATTCATGGTGAATAGTGGATGAAATCGGATAAAATCGAAAGGCGCGTGTATTATTTATAGCGAATCGAATTTATCTAAAAAAAATTCGAGAAAATTAAGCAAATTTTATTGAAATTCGTTAAAAGAAATGTAGAACGGATTACTTTCGTCCCCTCGGTCGAATTGCTACACACTTAGAAACATTCATGTAAATTTAGGTGCTCTGAAGTGACATATACGAGCGTCAATTTTGACAGAAATTTGAATCATAAAAGACGTGAAATATAGCTCAATCAAACATACTTTTCGTCGAGCAACGAACTTTTCAGTCTCGGAGCACTAAATATTACATGACATGTTTGTTTACGTTTCATCTTTTATGTCAAAGATGGATACCGTCACGTGTAAAATTAGTTATTTCTAAGTGTGTATGAACGGCAGAATATGATGAGGAAATCAAGTGCACGGAAGCTCTACACCCAGATGTTGACGAAACCGCATTGTCTTGTTATGGATGACGAGACGTGTGTAACATGTTCTTCACTGCTCATCATAAGTTCGATGTCTCTGAGGACGTTAGAAAGCAGAAGATGTCAAAGTTTTCCAAAAAATACATGATTTGCACACTTAGAAATAACTACTTTCACACGAGACGTAATCCATATTGGACGAAAATCATAGAACGTAAACAAACATTTCATGTAAAATTAAGTGTTCTCAAACCGAAACATCAGCTAGTCGACGAAGAGAACGTTTGATCGGATTGATTTTCACGTTTCTTTCAACTGATTCTTATGTCAAAAGGTCCGCTTACATGTGTCGGTCTCAGGGAACCGAAATTTACATGACTAGTGTGTGGCAAGCAATTTGCTGCAAAGCGAAGCACTACAATCGTGACAACCGGGACGGTCAATGGGTAGATATACCTAAAGGAATGCCTCCAAAAGCGTCTATTTCGACTTCTGAGATCAGAAAATGGTCCTACGCTTTTCTGGCCGGATTTAGCCTCGGGCTATTAGTCGAAAGATTTTCTGGAGTGGTGCGGCCAATTGAGAAGTACATCATGAAGCACTTCGTAACAGGCATGGACAATCATTTACATTCATTTCATGCATTCATTTACATTCATTTGCCTCTATCTTTTTTCATCAACAGCATTCCACAAAATGATGTATAGAGCTTTAGTAGAATTTGTTATTAGCTACAACTATTACCTGTACCTCAAATCTGTATCTCTAATGCATCACGAATTAGAGTGGCAGAACTCGTTACTGTTTTTCAGTGAATGTAAAATACATTCACTGAAAAAAAGTAGTGGATTCGGTTTGCTCTGGTTCGTCATGCATAAGAGATACGGATTTGAGTTCTTAACAAAAGTTGTAGCTAATAACAAAATCTACAAAAGCTGTCTACATTATTTTGCGGAGTTCTGTTGATGAAAAAAGTTAGGGACAAATGAATGTAAATGAATGCAAATGATTTTCCATGCCTGCTTCGTAAGATATGTAGAAAAAATGGATTTCCACACAATGCACAGTTGGTCCAAACGTTGTACAAGATCTTATGTGTAGTGTTATGAGAAAAGTACGTGCATTTGGGTATGATAACGAAATTGAATAAAACGAACATGGGAAAAACTAAATAATATGATTTATTTTCCCTGAAAGCTTGAAAATGAGCGGTTGAATGGGTGAATTTTGACGTTCGATGCAGCACTTGCTGCAGTTGGAGTAATTCCTTACATCTGTGGACTTGCGGAGGATGTTGGAAGACCCTTTCGGGGCAAGTCAATAAGAGCTTCTGCAATTATAAACTGCAATATTCTCCCGGTAGCAACCAGAAGAAACTTCTGGAGGAAGTCTAGATAAAACTCACAGATCAGATGAGGTCAGAAGAAGCTTGAATGGGTGAATTTTGACGTTCGATGCAGCACTTGCTGCAGTTGGAGTAATTCCTTACATCTGTGGACTTGCGGAGGATGTTGGAAGACCCTTTCGGGGCAAGTCAATAAGAGCTTCTGCAATTATAAACTGCAATATTCTCCCGGTAGCAACCAGAAGAAACTTCTAGAGGAAGTCTAGATAAAACTCACAGATCAGATGAGGTCAGAAGAAGCTTCTGGAGAAAACTAGAAACAACCTAATAAAACTGGAACTAGCTTCCGCCGAAACATTGAAAAGATTTCCGATTAAAATTGGAAAAGTTTCTTGGATAGAGCAGAAAAAAAATACGTCCGGGAATAGTTGGAAGGCTCTTTTAGGGGAAGACAGAAAATCTTCTTGGTTTGAATACGTAAGGATGTACAAACGCGTATACATTTTGTTAACAATGAGCTAATCATCTTAGTCAATGTTAGGTCTCATGAGTGATCTAACATCAATGACATCCGAGGGATGCCAGCCGTTTGCCAACACGTGGATCTGGGAGCAAGTTTGGCAACTCGGATATGTGTGTGTGTAAAGTAAGTGAATTGTTGACCATATCTCTAGAAATGGCGAAGTTTATTTGATTGATTATTCGTTATTAAAGAGAGCGAAGTTTATTAATTTCTGGGAATTATCACTGGTTACAGTATGTAGGCTCTCCGTGGATGAAATAAATCCTCTCTCCTGGTCTGCCCACCTCCTGCCGCAAGGTACTACGTGTTAATAATAAATCAAATCATTGCCTTGAATAGCTACTCAATTCAATTAATCCTACCAATTATGAAGTGACAAACAGCAAACCCTGCTATGATATTTTAAACCACAAAAATTATACCGTATAGTTCGTAATTCCCGGGGAACGAACATAATTAAAATTCTAACAGTGGTTGCTCAATTTACACTATCTAGCGCTTCCAGTAGCACACAGAACTGATTTTGCTGTTCAATATAGGTAGATCAACTGTTCATCCTGATTAAAGCTGATTTAATTTTTTTTCAGATAGTATTAAATCGTTTTGCGGTTTCCCCCATCACACTGATTGTTTATTTGCAATAGGATTTTATATCTGTCATGTTTGTTTAAACTGATAATTACATTGCTTTCAATTAACGAGTAAAACTAGGACAGGTTGTAGTAAATCATTGCTGTTGATTGAGAACAATCGTTCAGAATACCCAATCATATTCTCGATCGGACCGGGAATTGAAATCTTCACGTGGTTGTGTGGGGTTTGAGTACATGAATTCCATAGTTTATTACTTCAGAATATAACAATTCACTGATTTAAAATGTAACCCCAAACCAATTTGATTTAAACTGCTGTCAAATTACTCCACGTGTAGAACCATAACTTAAGACGCCCACCTAGAAAATATTGAGCCCACTTAAGCATGCTTCTTTGTCCAACCAAAAGATCATTGAAGTAAACTCTCGTTGAAAGGCTTCATTTCAACCTTCATTTATTTTCACCGGCAAAATATATATCGGTACAATATGCGGGGATAAAAAAGGTTCACTGCTCAATCTTACTTTCCCAGTATAATATATTGCCAGAGGTGGCTGGGAAAGAATCTTGCTGCTCTCCTTGTAGGTCTTTTTTGTTTTGTTTCTGCGAAGTCCATTCTTACCCGGGCATTTTATTTTTTGTCGTCATTTTGCTCTCTCTGGAAAGGGAATTTTCAGAACAATCTCTTTTGGACTTGGTCCCCGATGCTCGAAAGTAATTTGTTTAATGCATTTTATGTTAAACAAGGTGAGAATATTTTAAATCTGAGCACAGCGAAATCCCCTTTCTCATTTAGCCGACGGCACTTTATAACGAGTGAAATGTGTTTATGGGCTTGTTTTTATATTGTTTTTGTTGCTCTTTTGCACAAGGTTTAGTCCATAGATTGTAGGTGGATTACTGCAAAGTTATTTCGCTATTACTTTGGAGCAAAATGGGATTAATACTATTCTCAATAGGATGTAGATACAAAGGCTTTGATTTAAAACTAATGTACACTCTTAAAGTATGGTAGGTAACTCATCACAAATCCTCCTATTCAATTTTTTAAAATAAGATAGCATGAGCATGACCATGAGCATGATTGACCACCCACGGTTGCTACTCTGTTATTGTCAGATCAGCTGTAATTACACAAAGAACCAATAGACGATGCTTGGGACTAGCAATCATCCTTAATGTGTAAAAACTGGTGATCTCAAACTAGGCAATACCAGCGCAGGCCGCGCCCGAACACAGGTCAAGAAAGGAATGTGTTGACGTGACACACTTGCTTTGATGGAAGCCGAGAACACCTCTGTACTTCCACGAGGAATCACTGGGATGTTGGATAACAGAGTTGGGTTTGCAGCAGGGTTAGTTTTGGTAAACGATAAGCTGAATT